TGCTGCACAGGCTTTCTCTAGCTGTGGTTAGCAGGGGTTATTCTTCGTTGTGGTGTGCAAGCTTCTCATTGCAGTGGCTTCTCTTCTGGAAGAGCTCAGGCTCTAGGTGTGTGGGCTTCAGTAGTTGTGGCATGTGGGATCGGTAGTTGTGGCATATGGGCTCTAGAGCTCAGGCTCAGTAGTTGTGGTGCACGGGCTTAGTTGCTCTGCATCATGTGGGATCTTCCTGGACCAGGGCTCGAGCCTGTGTCCCCTGCATTGGCTGGCGGATTCTTAACCACTGCGCCACCAGGGAAGTCCTGTTATCACATCCTTGATGAGAGTGACTTGAATCTGAGTTACTAAATCACCTTTCCTTCCTTCTAATCTTTCAACCAGATCAAACCATGACTATCATCCTGAATGATTTATTTAATTACACTGATTTGTGGGAGTTGTTTGAGGATGAGTTTGCAAATTTCACTGGCACGCCACCCACAGAAGGACATCGTTATAGTCCCTGTAAGATGGACACTGAGACGCTCAACAAGTATGCCGTGGTCGTCATCTATGCCCTGGTCTTCCTGCTGAGCCTCCTGGGAAATTCCCTGGTGATGCTGGTCATCTTATACAGCCGGGTGGGCCGCTCTGTCACCGATGTCTACCTGCTGAACCTGGCCATGGCTGACCTGCTCTTCGCCCTGACCTTGCCTGTCTGGGCCACCTCCAAGGCAAAGGGCTGGATCTTTGGCACAGCCCTGTGCAAGGTGGTCTCACTCCTGAAGGAAGTCAACTTCTACAGTGGTATTCTACTGCTGGCCTGCATCAGCGTGGACCGCTACCTGGCCATTGTCCATGCCACACGCACGCTGACCCAGAAGCGGCACTGGGTCAGGTTCATATGTTTAGGCATCTGGGTCCTGTCCTTGATCCTGGCCCTGCCCATCTTCGCCTTCCGTGAGGCTTATCAACCACCCTATTCCAGCCCAGTCTGCTACGAGGACATGGGTGCCAATACAACAAAGTGGCGGATGGTGATGCGGGTCCTGCCCCAGACCTTTGGCTTCCTGCTGCCCCTGCTGGTAATGCTCATCTGCTACGGACTCACCCTGCGCACGCTCTTTGCGGCCCACATGGGGCAGAAGCACCGTGCCATGCGGGTCATCTTTGCTGTCGTGCTCGTCTTCCTGCTCTGCTGGCTGCCCTACAACCTGGTCCTGGTTGCAGACACCCTCATGAGGGTCCGGGTGATCGCGGAGACCTGTGAGCGCCGCAATGACATCGGCCGGGCCCTGGATGCCACCGAGATCCTGGGCTTCCTCCACAGCTGCCTCAATCCTCTCATCTACGTCTTCGTTGGCCAGAAGTTTCGCCACGGACTCCTCAGGATCATGGCCATCCATGGCCTGGTCAGCAAGGAGTTCTTGGCCAAGGACGGCAGGCCTTCCTTCGTTGGCTCTTCTTCAGGGAACACCTCTACTACCCTCTGAGACCGCACGCAGGGCTCCTCCCTTCCCTTCAGCATCCGCCCCAAGCCGCATGTCCTCTGGCTGCTCACAGCCCTGTGTCCAGGCAGCCCCCCATTGTGGTTACAGGAAGTTGCTGAGGCCACATCCTTAGTAGGCCCCCAGCTATGGATTCGAAAGCCCTGGCCCCCACCTCTTATCGTAATTACCATGTCAACTGCTAGAGCTCAGTCCATCCTACCACTGAGACCACAGCACTCTGTCTTCTGGCAGACATTCTTTGAAGACACTCTTTTAAGTGATTACAAAAAGTTCCCACCATTGGGAGGCATTAGTGTCAAACACCATTGGTTGCTTCCCCAACTCTCCCTTTCCTTGCCAGCTAACGAAGTCCACCTCCCTTGAGAGAGGCTGAAAATGACAGATACTCACTTTCTAAGACTCCCTTAAACTAGAAGTGGCCATATCATTTGGTTCTGATTAATAAGACTCAAAGGCAATAGTGTGCTGGTAAACCACTTTCCTGGGAGAAAGTCTTAATGTTCTGTGGTGTAACTAGATGCTCTTACCATGGCCGATTTCAGGGGTGGTGGTGTTTAGCAACAAGCTCACAAAATCTAGATAGTGTAATAATCTGCTTCCACAAACTGGCTTCAGTGCACTCTTGCTTAAGAGGAAGTCTACTGGGGCCAGGGGACTCCTGGGATATATTCCTGATTTAAAAGACACACACACACATACATATCCTTGATTCTTGCCTGTGAATACGGTTATAGGATATGATGTGTAGAGATGAGCCAGTCACTTTGTGACAATGAGACAAAAAGTGTGCCCAACACACTTAGGCTGGTGGAGCCAAAGGATAAAAAGGACCTGAGAATAAAGAGCCCAGAATAAACCATAAATGGTCAAATGACTTTATTTATTTATTTAAAAATGTGTTTGGCTGCGTTTGGTCTTCGTTGCTGCGCATGGGCTTTTCTCTAGTTGCGGCGAGTGGGGGTTACTCTTCATTGTGGTGCGCGGGCTTCTCACTGCAGTGGCTTCACTCGTTGCGGAGCATGGGCTCTAGGCGCTCGGGCTTCAGTAGTTGTGGCACATGGGCTCGGTAGTTGTGACTCACGGACTCTAGAGTGCTGGCTCAGTAGTTGTGGTGCTCGGGCTTAGTTGCTCTGCAGCATGTGGAATCTACCTGGACCAGGGCTCGAGCCCGTGTCCCCTGCATTGGCAGGCAGATTCTTAACCACTGCGCCACCAGAGAAGTCCCTGGTCATATAACTTTAAACAAGGGTGCCAAGACTATTCAATAGGGACTTCCCTCTCCTCTCACTCCTTCCCTTAATCCCCTCTCCATCTCTCCTACTGTGTGACTCAGTGCTCACCTCCCTTCATCCTCTGCTGCCCTAAAGACAACTCCATCAGGGGTCTCAGTAAGTAAATAAGGATCCAGATCGGGTCTGGGAAAATACAAATGACTAATACACATCTGAAAAGATGCTTGGCCTCACTAGTAACCTGTGAAGTGGGAATCAAACAGCAATAAATAACTTGGAAGTGTTTTAAACAGGTCAGGGATGTAGTCAGAACTCTCTTCAAACAAATGCAACATTGTTTAGTTAGATTTTTTAATGCAGTGTGTAATTCTCTGGGTACAGCTCAATGATTTGGATTTCAGATCTGTAAGAATGCCAAGGTGTTGGTACTGAAGTAACACAGTATATGAAAATATCAGAAACTGGTGTTCCGATCACTAGATAGGGTAAGGATTAGACATCTGTTCAAGGTTAGGGAGATGGTTCACCTTGGGGAGGAGCTCCATGTCCAGGATGGGGCTGGGATCAGGGGTGGGGTGCACCTTAGGAGAGGAGTGGGGGGTGATCAGAGATGGGAGAGAGTCAGGGATGGAACTGGGGTTAGGTATGGGGTAAACAACAAGGATTATACAGGGGACAGGGATTGGGATGTGACGGTATGTTTTGCACAATGTTTGCTGATTTTTAAAATTATTTAAAAATTATTTTTTTATATTTTGGCTGCACCATGAGGTATGCAGGATCTTAGTTCCCCAACCAGGGATAGAAACCCACACCTCCTGCAGTGGAAGTGCGGAGTCTTAACCACTGGACTGCCAGGGAAGTCCCAATGCTTGCTGATTTTAAATTTTGAAAATTTGCTTTGTGGGCTTGGTTAAAATGTTCCAGCCTCCAAGTAATAACATTGAATTATACTATTTCCCCCTACACTGTTCCCCTTCTTAGCAACCACAGCCTCTTCACCACCCCTTGCCTCCCTATCAAGTGGCCTATTCTTAGTGGTTCCAGCAAAAATATTAATGGATAATCTGTATTTTATTCCATAGGGGTTTAAGATTGCTCCTTTCCCAGCAACTTGCATTTTAATTAGGGTCTTCCAGCGGCTGAAAAGACTCATAGATGCAGATGAAATAAATCGACCGTCTCCTCTTTGGTCTAAGGGTCTTCCCAGAGATATATTCCAAGAGATAACCATGAACCAAGAAATAATGAAGAGTTCAGGCATAACTTGGAGATATTACAAGTTTGGCTCCAGACCACCACAATAAAGCGAATATAGAAATGAAGTGAATCACCTGAATTTTGTTTTTTTCGGTTTCCCAGTGCATATAAAAGTTATGTTTATACTGTAGTCTATCAACTGTGCAATCGCATTATGTCTAAAAAATGTACATATCTTAATTAAAAATACTTTATTGCTAAAAAATGCAAACCATCATCTGAGCCTTCAGTGGGTCATAATCTTTTTGCAACTGTAACAGCAAAGATCACTAGTGAGCAAATGCTGTTGGAAAAATGGCACCAATAAACTTGCTCTGGGTAAGGGTTGCCACCAACCTTCAATTTGTGAAAAACGCAGTATCTATGAAGAGCAAAAGAGCGAAGCACGGTGAAACGAGGAGGTATGCCTGTACAGCCTTTGCTATTTCTATGCAGAGGTTGGAGAGGCCAAAGATCTCTGGGTGTGACCCAGAAAGCCAAAAGTGGCTCACAGCTGAGCCCTCACCACGACTGTTTTTATCTATCCTGGTATTCTGTTTTTAAACTCAGGATTCTTCTTCCAAGCCTGAAGGTAGAAATGAATTAAAGAATTAAAAAAATAAAAATAAGCGGAATATGTTAATGCAAACTTTCTAAATTAGTTTTTCTTTTTTATCAAAGTATTTCACCTACATTGTTTAAAAAAGTGAAATAGCTTTATAAAGCTTATAATGAAAACCAGAAGCAGCCCTCCTGCCCCACTTCCCCCAGGCAAAGGCAACAACTTTCTTCCTGTAAAATAAATTTATTTATTTATTTTTGGTTGTGTTGGGTCTTCGTTGCTGCTCGCAGGATTTCTCTAGTTGCAGCGAGCGGGGGCTACTCTTTGTTGCGATGTGTGGGCTTCTCATTGCAGTGGGCTTCTCTTGTTGAGGAGCATGGGCGCTTGGGCTTCAGTAGATGTGGCGCGCGGGCTCAGTAGTTGTGTCTCGTGGGCTGTAGAGCGCACGCTCAGTAGTTATGGCGCATGATGGGCTTAGTTGCTCCACAGGACGTGGGATCTTCCTGGACCAGGGATTGAACCTGTGTCCCCTGCATTGGGAGGCAGATTCTTAACCACTGCGCCACCAGGGAAGTCCAAAGGCAACAAATTTCAACTCGCATAGCTGTTTCATTCAATAGAGGTCTACATATTTCTAAATATCGTGCTTATTCTGCTAGCTCTTGAGGTTTTTTTCTGAGTTTTAGATATCATCTATTGACTTTCAATTTTGGCTTATGAAGATTTAACAACTCTCTCACACTCTCTCTTGCTTTTACTCCTGTCCAAGCAAACACAAATACTGCCTCTTCCTTTCTTCCAGGACATGGATAACACACTTTTTTGGTTAAATCAGCATTCAATGTTTTAGTTAAAATGACTATATAAAAAAACACTTCACAGTTGGGTGCAATGTTTACACTTCCTTTTTTTGTCCAAGTTTTGTTTTCCTTAGAATTAATGATAGGATTTGTCCATGTACTTTTCATTACATCACTCTCAAATGTCTCCCTCAATACATTCACAGTCATCAGATAATCAAGGTAATAAACATCAGATAATCTATAACTTTTTTTTCTTTCTTGGAGAGCCCTTGCCTAGAGCCCTTTATACCCCTGTTCCAATCTGGGCAGGTTACTATGCCTGCTCTTTTTTTCTAAAAAGCTTTAACTACATTTCCAGATAAATTTTAGAATCTGATTGCTAATTTCTATAAAATGTCCTGCTGGGATTTTGATCTGCATTATGTTGAATCTATAGATCAGTTTGGAAAAAGTTGACGTCTTAATAACATTCAGTCTTCCAATCCATGTGCATGGCAGCTTTCTCCAATTATTAGGTCTTTTCTATTTTGTCTTGGCTGTGTTTTGTAGTTTTCAGTACATAGATCTTGTACATATTTTGTTAGATTTATCTCTAAGTATTTTATGGTTGTTTAAATGCTATTATAAATGGTATTTAATTTTTAAAAATTTTCCAGGTTTTTCTTATTATAGAGAAATATAATTGAGTTATGCATATTGACCTTGTATTCTGGGATCTTGGTAAATTCACTTATTAGTTCCAGTAGTTTTATTTTTAAAGATTCTTTTGGATTTTGTGTGTACGCAATCATGTCACCTGAGAATAAAGACAGTCATTTCTTCCTTTTATTTATGCCTTTTATTTACTTTTCTTGCCTTATTTCACTGGCTAGGTCCTCCAGTACAATGCAGAATAGAAGTTGTAAGAGTTTGCCCTGTTCCTAGTCTTAGGGTAAAGCATTCAGTCTTTCTCTATTAGACATCATGTTAGCTAAAGATTTTTCATGGAGACCCTTTATCAGGTTGAGGAAGTTCCTTTCATGAGTGGGTGTTAAATCTTCCTCTTTCTTTAAGGGCATGGCCTCTGGAGCCAGACTACTGCTGCTTACATGCTTTGTGACTAAGGGCAGATCATTTAACCTCCCTCTACTACCTTGTAAAATGTGGATAATGATGATGTTCAGCTAATTCCTATGAGGATTAAATTAAATGACCACACACACACACACACACACACACACACACACACACACCATTTAGAAGAATGTCTATTATACCACAGGTGCTATATAAATGTGAACTATCATAATTTTGGTTTACTCCTTTATTTTGTTGTACTACTGGATTTTTCTGAGAAAAGATACATAGTGGATAACTTTTTAGAAATCCTGAATTTTCAGAAAAGGCTTTATTCTACTCTCACATGTGATTGGTATTCTGGCTGAGTATTGAATTCAAGGATAGAATTCATTGTCCTTCAGGCTTTTCTTAATTTCATTTTGCAGGCTTTTCTTAATCTCTTCTAGCTTGTAGGGTTGCTGTTGACACTTATGATGTTATTCTATTCTTAATCTATTTTATGTGACTGAATTTTCTCTTAGAAACTTTTAGGATATTCTCTTTATCTTTTCAGTATTAGAATGCAGGATGATGTGCCTTGCTGGGGGTTCTTTTCTCATTCATTTTGTTGGGCACCTGGTGAGTGCTTTTAATCTGGAAACTCAGGTTCTGTGAAATTTTCTTGTATTATTTCTTTGATATTTTCCCTCTCACATTTCCCATTCTCTTTTTTTTCCCAGGATTCCTTTTATTTGACTGTTGAACCCCCAAGGTTGATTTTCTAATATTTTTTCAATTTTTCCTGTTTTTTTAATCTTAATCTTTTCACTTTCCATGAAATTACCCTTAACTTTATTCCTCAGCTTTTTAATTGGAACTTAAAATTTCCACTATCATATTTTAAATTTCCAATAGGCTTTTTTTGTTCTCTAATGTTTCCTTTTATGGCACTTCTTTTTTGCCTCATGGATGTAATATTTCCTTTTATCTTTCTAAGAATATTATGGTTTTTGTGAAGATTTCTTTAACTCCCTTACTGTCTCTGTGTTTTTCTTTTAGTCTGATAACTCAGTTACAACTTGACTTCTACTTTCTGACTTCCATTAAAAAAATCTCTTATCTTTTATTTTCCTTCACGTTCTCTTTTTTCTTGTACTGTGTGGGAATATGCCTTAAATAAAATCTCTTTAGTGTAATTTGTAGTGGATTTTTGAGAGGGAGCAGATATAAAAACATTTCTCCAGTCCTCCATTTTTGATATAATAAGTCCCCTGGATTTAAAAAACATACTTATTTTAAAGTCTCATCCAGATTGTCTTATTTTAACTTTAGTTCCTCAGGTGTGAATTCTCCTTTTTGTTATGTTGGCTGACTGTTGATTGTAGTTTTTATTAGTTCTTTGTAATATTCGATTATGAGCTCATCTATCGAAGAGCACTTTTTTTTCCCATGGGAGTCTTGCATGTGTCTGGGATTATGAAGAAATCTACACAGGGGCAGTGTCATGGCTGTCCTTGCTGGGGCCCTACTGGGTCATATGGTTCATAGCATTTTTGGTAATTTTTATTGTTATTTCTTTGTCCTAGGTTTCCACATCATCCCAAAGGGCATATTTGGATCCTCACCATTTTCTGCTCAGGACTTGTAAGTCTGGATTGTCCCTCAGGTGGCCATCTTTCCCCCATGTCTAGGGCAGGCTGCTCACTTTGGGGTCATGTCTCATAGCTGGCAAATGTTTTTCTATCCCCAGGCAAGGGTGGGTCAGCTCTTCTCTGGTTCCTGGCTTTTTGCAGGGAATCCAGTTCCAGTTCCCTGCTGTACCAGGGTCTGTAGACCACTGGTGTTAGCATTCTCATCCTTGAGATGCACAACCATTTCTAGCATCCTCTGGGTTCCTGTGGCTTCAACTCCTGCTTCTTGATTAAGTCTGTACATCTCTAAGTTTCCTTTTCATATCTGGCATTTAGAGAACCCCCTTTGCCTTTTTTTTTTTTTTTTAGGTTTTTTGATGTGGATCCTTTTTAAAATCTTTATTGAATTTGTTCCAATATTGCTTCTGTTTTATGTTTTGGTTTTTTGGCCTCAAGACATGTGGGATCTTAGCTCCCCAACCAGGGATTTAACCCACACCTCCTGCATTGGAAGGCAAAATTTTAACTACTGGACCACCTTGGAAGTCCCTCCCCCTTTGCTTTTGATCGCAGATATATATTTTAAAAATTTAAAATATATGTTATCTAACATTTCAACGTGTGTGTGTGTGTGTGTGTGTGTGTGTACTGTTGCTTCCCCTGCTCCTCAGAACAATATCATAATAGGATATCAGTAAAAATTCAAATAACACATAAAATCAATCAGTCTCTTCCCATTCATTATTTCCTTTCCTTAAAGATAAGTGTAGTTAAAACTTTCTCCCAGTGAATTTTAATGTCAGTCTGGAGGACACATTGACCAAATGTCTAGTTAACTCACAGCCTCTATGTATCTGCTGCATATGCCCCTGTGCATGTGTATGTATGTGTTGGAGGTGAATGACCCTGCAGTATCTCAGGATTATCATGCCCTTCTCTTAGCCAGGTTCAAATCAGCAGGGTGAAAGAAGTAAGATATAGAAGGTAAGTGGGGAGGTGCTTCTGGGGAAATCCAGTCACTTCCGACATGGGAAGAAATCGGATTGCCCAACAGAAACCTATGAGGCCACATCCGTACTTCTCTTGGTTCCCATGTTGTAAACAAGACTGTTTTCCCAAAAGAGCTGGCTTTGCTCCAACTTTGAGAGTGTTGAAGGTGGAGAGAGGCTAAACAAGTAAGGCCTAAGGGCCACACAGTGCAGGGCTCCCCACTTTGCCAGCGTCCTTGTACACTCCCCCTAGCTGGGATCCTGATGATATTCTGCAGGCACTGTCCCCTGTGCCCATTCGCCAAGATGTTATAGAAAAACATATGTTCATAAATAGGAATCAAATGGCCAGTTAGCTGATTATGTATCAAATGCCTATTATGCACCCAACTTTGTGCCAGACCCTTAAAATAAGGACAGGTACTGTAGAAATGAAACTTAGGGGACAAGGAAACTTGTGAATGGAGGATATGTGAGGAGTTCATGAAATTTCCTATAGTGTCAAGGTGATCAGGACAAAGAGATCTGTCTGGGGGTTCTAGTGAGCCACAAGCTGAATCTGAAGATTTGGGAAAAAATGTTTCTAATTAAATAAAAGAAAGTAAAAAAAGACTTAGTCGTTGTGTGACCTAGAATATTCATTTAAACTTTCTGCTGGCACATAGGAGCTCAATAAATATTTGCTCTTTTAGGAGTAAAAAGAAACAAAAAATAAACAAACAAAAAACCTTTCTGAGCTCAGTTTCCTCTTCCATGAAATGAGGTTGAATTAGGTTTCTAGTTCTAAGACGAGATGCTCTATTGAAGAATCTATACCTCTACAGATGTGAACTTGATATGAAACTTCTATCCTTGCTCAGAATATGAACCTTAGTAATTAGGTGCTTCATAGAAGATCACTTCTTAATGTATGCTTTCTGGGCAGCTGTTGACCAGGCTTGACATGAAAATTTCTAGAGAGGCCTCCTTCCTTCCCCCTCTCTTTTCTTATTCCTCCTTTCCCCCGCAACTCACCCTCCAGCACTTTCCTCCCTCAACTGTCAGCAATTCATTCCTTTGTGCTTGGCAGGCCCCTTGGAAAAACAGCAAATACCCCTGGTGAGGGGAATACATTTCTTTCAGTTATTAAGCCTAGAAACATAATGGGTTTTTGAAATCATTCTCTTGCACAGAAGAGCCTCTCTTTCTGAGCCTTCAGGGTCATGAGCAAACTTGCACACTACAATCCAACACGTCAGCTTAGCCTCTTACTAACAGATGTGTCTGCTGGTAACTGCAGACCTAAGATGTGCCAGGCTCCGTGAAAAGCATTTTTTACATGAATTATTTCATTGAAAGCTTACCAAGACCTTACGGTAGGAATTATTATTATCCTGTCTTATAGATGAGGAAAATAAGGCCCAAGGAGATTAAGTACCTTGTCCAAGGTAACACAGCAGCAGATAAGTGGTAAATTGGAGTTTAAATCAAGGATTAACTGCTTTCAGAGTCTGGGTTCTCAACTGCTCATGATACGTGAAGCACTGGTGGAGTGAGAGCCCCAGGGGGCTTTGAGTCAGGTTGGGTCTTAGTCTATCCTGAGTTGTATGGTCTTGAGCAATCACTTAACTTCTCTGACCCCTGGTTCCTTGAAGGCTCAGTAGCATTAGAAGCTTGTCAAGGTTCAAGGTAATGGATGCCAGGTTCTTGGAATAGACTAGGGCCTTGAAAAATGGCAGACATTATTATCAGAGCAGAGAGTCTTAGAGAGTTGTGTCAGTTGAGGAACAGGCAAGTAATCCCAAATCTAACTTTAAGGGTAGTGCTTCTGCATGATATCACAGGGTCAGGGGCTAATAGGAGAGATAGGATATACTGCTTTCAAAGACATCGGGCTGTTCTGAGATGAAAACACAGCTGGAAAGGGGACCAATGGTCTTCCTTCATGTTCTTCCAACATCCATTTTTTTCTTCTTCTCCCAGGTCATTGCCATTAACATACAAGCTCTCATCTTATAATAACTCTTGTTGACCCCACAGTGCTATCAGCTATGGTCCTATTTCTCTGCTCCACTTTGCAGCTAAGCTCTGAGTCTCACTGCTCAAAGGCTGCTTTAAGCCTGTGAAGGGAGCTGAGGAACATTTAGCGGAGTCTCAGCTGGATCCTGACCTGGGCTGACTCTGGGGTTGGGGTAAGTCCGGGCACAAATGAAAGGAATGAATGGTCAAGGGCCCTTTAGGGAATGAGCTCATCCCTAGGGGACAAGAGTAAAACTCATGGGTCTGCAGAAGGCCATCACTCAGAACTGGGGGCAGTGGGAGTGGGTGCTGCAATTAAGACCAGCCCTGGCCTGTGGACTCTCACCTGAATGTTAGGGAGGTGGGGCTGGGAGTGAACATGAGAAAAGCCGGGAGACTTTGGCAGTGCAAGCAACATACGTGGATAACCTGGCCCTGTTCCTTTCCAGGTGGCTGAGCTGGAATTGGCTGAGGGTGAAGGCCGGCTTGGCAACATGGCCCGGGAGCCTCAAGGGAGCAGGTGGGAAGAGGATCCTGGAGAACTTTCCTGAGGTGCTGAATCACTGCATTCTCACTGGCTGTACACAGACAGGTGTAAACAAAGAAAGAGCTCAAAAAGAGAAAAGGAGTCAGATTTCTGTCCCATGAGGAGTGCAGAAGAGCATCATTGTTATTTCCCCACTCACCACACACTTCCTCCTTCTTAAAGTTCTGTTTTCTCTGGGCTCCTGCTTTCCTCCTGCATCTTTGCCTTCTTTTCAGTCTTTTTGGAAGACCCCTTTCCTCTTTCAGTCTTTTAAATGCTGACGTTCTTCCAAATCCTCTTCCTCCCCCTTTTCTGCCCTTTCCCTATTGTCTGCTTTCCCTGAATGACATCATCTACTTCTGTGGCTTGAATGATCTGCTGTCTCTGTGAGAATTATCTCCCCAAAATGTGGAGATTGTAGCCCATTTTCCCTGGGCTTCCAGAGCTGGATTCCAATGCACACTGACATGCCTCCTTGTACCCGCACCACAAATTCAAAGTTAAAGCAGCGTCTTCCCTCCAAAACCTGCTTCCTTCAAGCCGTTGGTCCAAGTTATAGGTTGAAGAATCCTTTTGACTCCCTCCTTCTCACTACCCCACCCCTATCCAATTCACAGCCAAGTCCTGTTTTTTTTTTTTGCGGTACGCGGGCCTCTCACTGTTGTGGCCTCTACCGTTGCAGAGCACAGGCTCCGGACGCGCAGGCTCACTGGCCACGGCTCACGGGCCCAGCTGCTCCGCGGCGTGTGGGATCTTCCCGGACCAGGGCCCGAACCCGTGTCCCCTGCATCGGCAGGCGGACTCTCAACCACTGCGCCACCAGGGAAGCCCAAGTCCTGTTGTTTTGCCCTTAAAGATCTCTTAAACTCAAGCCCTGATCTTCACCCCCTCTGTCATTACTTTGCCCAGACACTCACCATTTCTTCTTCCTAACTGGACTCCTGCCTTGATCCTCAACCCCTCTCGGTCTATCCATATACCACTCAGGGAGCAATCTGATTGCAGTGTTCATCTGCTTAAAGCTCCTGTTGCCTGTGGGATGAAGTTTCCACACTTTAGCACAGCACCAAGGCCCTCTGCCGTTAGGCCTTGCCTGCTGGCCCAGGTCTCGATATGGCATACCCACATCTGGTATAGCCTTTGCTTTGGCCATACTGGATTCCTTAAATTTCCCTGAATACCTCATACTGGCTGCCTTAGGCTAGATTTCTTTGGTTGTAAGTAACAGAAATATGCTTTAAAGAGGCAGAAGCCTAAAGGGAATTTAGTGACAGGATCCCAAGGGTATCTGATGGACCCCAAGGGTCATGAGATTCTAAGAGGGACCAGTACTAGGAGGAGCAGGAAGGTGGCTCCTTACTTGGGCTCTCTCTTTTTGATGAACACACTTCTTCATCTCTATTTCATTTAGCAGGTCTATTTCACTCCTCTTTCTAGGTACACCAGCTTTCTCTGCTTCTTTCTGTCCACAGCTATCCATGAGTTTACATCACCCCAAATCAATTGAAAAGCTCAGGTAACATCCCAGTCTCCCATTTCCAGGAAAGCAACTCTGGTTAGCTCTGCTTTGGCCGGGGAGGTAGAACACACGTAGCTTGGAGAAGTGAGGCTTGGGTTAGAGACTTCTGTATGACCCATACAAAAGTCTCTAAACTGTAACATTGCTGAGCCTTTGCATATACTGTTCCCCTTTGCTGCATGTTCTTCCCTGCATCTCCAGTTGGCTAAATTCTATTCATCCCTCAAAAGGTAGGTCAAGAGTTAGACCTTCCAGAAAGCCTCCCCAGGCTGAGTTACGAGTCCCTCCATGTGTTCCCATAAGACCATTGCATAACTTGTCTCTAACGCTTATCACATTTGGGTTGTGTTAATTGATTTCTGGTCTATCTCTCCCCTACACCATGGGGTCACTGAACCTTTCACCTCTTTCCCTCTAGATTTGGAGGAATAGCTAGGTCTAAAATGGGGATAGATTAACTTTTAAATGAATGAGTGAAACAGCCCATTAGTCTCCATCCACCACATGCAGGTTTTTTGAGGGGCTGGATTCAGGCATAAGATGGGAAAAAAGAAAATACCACAGTTGGCTTATTCTGGTGGCAGTATGTTCCTCACTGTTCATCAGAGTTCCATGAATATCAGCCCTCGGGAAACTGCATAATTTAGGCTTAGTTTTCTACAAGTTTACAGGGTTGTGACTTCCTAGATGAAAATTGCCTAATTTCACTTAGTAGCTGATGTAAATAAGTGAATGGCTAAAGGCAGAACACATCAGATTTTAGAACAGATTTGAAAAACATCACCGCCTTTATATGACAGGCAAGTGGATGGTGGCTGTGTACGTTTTGTATTAACACTATAGCTAGGAACTCATTTGAACTTTATATGAAAATTGCTATGCATAAAGTTTAGTCCAAATTACTACATCCATAAGTTGGAAAAAAATTAAAGATTTAAATAAGTATTAATAGCTAACTTTTTTTTTTTTTTTCTGTCCTTGCTGTGTGGCTTGTGGGATCCCAGTTCCCTGACCAGAGATTGAACCCACGATCTCGGCAGTTAAAGCACCAAGTCCTAACCACTGGACCGCCAGGGAATTCCCTAAGAGCTAACATTTATTGAAAGCTTTCCATGGTCTATTATTGAGCTAAGTGCTTTATATGTAGTAAATAACTAATTTAATCACTAGACTACCCTATGGGGCTAGCTCTCGTGAATTACTTTTTAGCCCATTTTACAGAGGAGGAAACTGAGACACAAGAGTTTAACTAGAGTCGGGATGTGCATGCAGGGATTTGACCCCAGGGCCTACCCCTTCAAGCACTCTGCTAAACCACCTCAAGGTACGGGTTGGTACCTTTCTTCCAATACTTACCTGTTAATGATGGTTCCTTAATTATGCCTTGTTTCACCATGCTTTAGTTGAGTTTTTCTTTTGAAACGTCCTTTATGTTTATGCTTTTAGGTAAAAAAAAATCTCTCTGTGCCTTACAAAATCCATGTTTGGAATTTCAATTTCTCCCTTTTCTTCCTAACACTGGTATAATAAAAAAAATTAACATTTTCTAATCTGCTGGATTGAAAAAATGCATCTCAAAGATGAATTAGTTATAGAGATCTGCTGTACAATATAGTGTCCATAATTAGCCATATGATATCGTGCACTTAAAATTTTGTTAAGAGAGTAGATCTCAAATATTGTGTTCTTATCACAAAAAGCAAACAAACAAAAAACAAAACCCAAAACAACAAAAAAGCAAAAGCACAGAGGGACACAAGGAAATTTTCTGAGGTGAGGGATACGTTTATTATCTTGATTATGGTGATGGTCATGGGTGTAATCATATGTCCAAACTCATCAAATTGTTTACATTAAACACCTGCAGCTTTTTTGGTATGTCAATTACATCTCAAAGAAGCTGTTAAAAAAATGTAAAAAACCCCCTCTCTGTGCGGCTGTTAGGACTTCGTGGCATTAAAAACTCTTGCAAGAAGCTTTAATCATGTTAATGTTTACCACTAAATGAGCTCCAAACGTTTACCTGCTTCACGTGATGGTTGGGAATAAATGAATAAGTGACGGAGCAACTTTGGAACTACCCTCTGGGTCTCTCTCAAAACCAGGTCTTCTTTCTCCCTGAATCTTTACCTACACGTGTGGAAGAAAAAGGTCGTGGGCACAATGGCGAACCCTGCAATTTGTCCTGTGGGAATTAGGTTCCCCAGCGACTTGTGAGGAGGTGTCCCAGTACAGCAAAGAGGGGAATGAATGAGGAACCTGGAGACCTGGGTTCAGCACTGCTTCCATCACCTGTAGTTCAAGACCTTTGGCAAGTGTCCACCTGTTCTGGGCAACAAGTAGCTCAACTGTCAAAAGGGGAGGTCAGTCTATAAGTGAATTTTTTAAGCTCCCTTCCACCCAGACAGTCTATATTTAGGTAAAGCAGTTCAAGGTCACCACTCCCAGATGGGCAGGTTTGACACTGTACAGCCCTAGCAGGGTGCCATTTGCAGAGAGCACAATGTGACAAACACACTCATTACATGTATATGTCCGAAGCGGAATTAGTAGAATCTTCCCATAAACAGAGGTATTTTATGCAACCTTGACCCTGGTCCCTGGGAGCTACTATGACACTGAGACCCTGGAAGCTTTCAGAAGCTCCCTGGGAGTCATTCTTATTCATTTTTGGCAGTTGACTTGGACACTTGGGCAAGGGAGTTAGGCAGGGGGTAGTAGAGGTGTCCAAGTACCATAGCCAACTGTATAGTCTAATGAAGTAAATCCCTTAGCATAATGCTGGACCTCCAAGCAAGTCCTCTAGAAACGCCAGCTGGTATTATTGCTGTAGTGGGAATAGAGAACAAACATGGGACAGGACACCTTGTGGGAATCAAGAGTTTGACCCAAACGCTGGGTCAGCTTGGCACAGAGTCAGCTTTGCTAGGAAACCGGTGCTGCTGTTTATGGCCAGGGGAATGTGTCTGACATCAGACTTTGCAAGGCTCTGTTGGGAAATCAGTGATGCGTCTGTCTTCTCCGGGAAGGTGCCTTGTGCATGTTTCTGAAGCTGCAGGGGGAGGGGACTTAGGTTGGGGCAGTGATGTCTGCACCTCCCCGCATCCCCTCCCCACCACCACATCTGCCCCAACTTGGGCAGATGGAATGGTCAGGAGGAGGCCCCATGGAAGGCCACCTTGCTTTTGGCTAGAGGTCAGCTAAGGGGAGTTGTGGGGGTCTTAGAGAGAGGGTGTATGTGGAGAGAGAGAGGAAGTAGAATACATACCCTCAAGGGAAAGAATCATCCTCACAGACAATTTTAATTTCAACAGGACATTTCTCATCTCCAGTTTGAAAAGCTTTGCCACCATTGCTTCTGAGTCAATGGGTTTTAAACTTGAGTTTTTTTTTTAATAACATTGACTTTTTGAAAATTTATTTTTTATTGAAGTATAGTTGATTTACAATGTTGTGTTAATTTCTGCTGTACAGCAGAATGACTTAGTTTTACACATATATACATTTTTTTAATATTCTTTTCCATTATGGTTTATCCTAGGATATTGAATACAGTTCCCTGTGCTCTACAGTAGGACCTTGTGGTTTATCCATTCTATATGTAATAGTTTCCATCTACTAACCCCAAACTCCCAGTCCATCCCTTTCCCCATACCCCCTCCACCTTGGCAGCCACAAGTCTGACCTCTAAGTCAGTAAGTCTGTTTCTGTTTTGTAGATAGGTGCATTTGTGTCACATTTTAGATTCCATGTATAAGTGATATCATATGGTATTTGTCTTTCTCTTTCTGACTTATTTCAGTTAGTATGATAATCTCTGGTTGCATCTATATTGCTGCAAATGGCATTATTTCATTCTTTTTAATGTTTAAGTAGTATTCCACTGTATATATATGTACCACATCTTCTTTATCCATTCATCTGTCATTGGACATTTAGGCTGTTTCCATGTCTTGGCTGTCGTGAATAGTGCAGCTGTGAACATAGGGTGTGTGTATCTTTTTGAATTATAGTTTTGTCGGGGTATACGCCCAGGAGTGGGATTGCTGGATCATATGGTAATTCTATTTTTAGTTTTCTGAGGAACCTCCATACTGTTTTCCATAGTGGCTGCACCAACTTACATTCCCACCAAAATAAACTTGAGTCTTGATCAGACTCATCTTGGGCTCCAAATTTCCAAGGACCCACCCTCAGCCATTCAGATTCCTTGGGCCTGGGACTATCACCTGACCTTAACCTTAAGCTGGGCTGGTGAGTTGGGTACCTTCTGTTTGTTCTTCCGGATCCATTCTCTGCGTTTCTCTACCACACTCTATGCCCTGGGCTGCTGACCAATATGGAAGGCCTTAGTGGATTCCCTGTCCTCTGGTTTCTCAGCTCAGCTGATAGGAGCCCTGGTCGGGTATCTGTGGGCAGAAGCTTCAAGTCAGGGCATTTGTTGTCCCAGCTTTGTCCCTGCTGGATGCTGGGATTGGCTCTTGTCAGCTAGGCCTTATCATACAGCTTTCCCTCTGGGCTCCTGCAATGGCTTCCCTACCTCACTCCTTAGGTCTAGGGATAGTAACAGCTCTCAGTCGTTACTGGCCTTGGGGTGCTGACCATTGCTCATTACTTTCCCCAAACCCTTCTCACACTTTTGTTAAAGGTCCCTTTATTCAATTCTCATGAGTTTGATGAAACTCTCTCTCCTTGCCCAGCTCCACTATGCCACCTGGTTCTTGCCAGGACCCGGATCCATTCAGGGCTTACCCGTAAAGCTGCATTTTAAGCAAGGAGTCCATTTTAAACACGGATATCGAAATTATTATAGAAATACATTAGAAATACTGCTCCAATGGCCTTGAATGCTTCTTAGTTCTCTTTTGGGTCCCTAGTGCTTAACTTACTTGAGACTAAGGTGATGTTTTTCAAAAGCAACTTTACCAAGAAATGAAGTTTAAAAAAAAAAAAAAAGGACTGATACTATTCAATGAGAAAATATAAAGGCATAGAAATGGGCATATCCACAAAGCCCAGCCTCCTCGTCCATAAGGAGGCCTATATCCATGCTAGCCCACAGGTCCCATCCACAGACACCAGGCCTCAGTTCCCTTGTTTTTGGAAAAACTCTGCCCCAACCAAATAAATTGGTACAATGCAAAACTGCATGAATTAATCATGAATGTTACTCTACCTTCCAGTTCTCTTTAACAATAACTCCTTTTAACAGTTTGGTATATATCCTCCCAGATATTTTTTGAACACTTATAAAACCATATATATTATAATGTTTTTATACAAATGGATAAGCCATTTACTACGTATTTTTTTTTGCGGTACACGGGCCTCTCACTGCTGTGGCCTCTCCCGCCGCGGAGCACAGGCTCCGGACGCGCAGGCCCAGCGGCCATGGCTCACGGGCCCAGCCGCCCTGCGGCATGTGGCATCCTTCCGAACTGGGGCACGAACCCGCGGCCCCTACGTCAGCAGGCGGACTCTCAACCACTGCGCCACCAGGGAAGCCCTCTACTTTCATTTTTCATTTAACATTATTTCTTGAAGATCTTCCCATGTCCTTTCATATACAACAAACCCTCAGTATCACAGGGTATTTATTCTAGGACCCCCTGCCATGGGTACCAAACTCCATGGATGTTCAAGTCCCTTATATAAAATAGCATTGTACTTGCATATAATTTCTGCACATCCTCCTGTATACTTTAAATCATCTCTAGATACCTTATAATAGTTAACACAATGTAAATGCTATGAAAATACTTGCTGATGGATAGCAAAGTCAAGTTTGGCTTTTTGAATCTTTCTAGAATGCTTTTTCCAAATATTTTCAATTCATGGTTGGTTGAATCCACAGATGCAGAACCCATGGATATGGAGGGCCGACTGTAACTACTTCATTATTTTAAAAAGATTTTTAAAAACAGTTTTATTGAAGTATAATTTACTTAATATAAAATTGACCGGCTTTAAGTACAAGATCTAATGATTTTTAGTAAATTCACAGAGTTGTACAACTTTTACCACAATTCAGATTTAGAGTATTTCCATCA